AGAAATTTTTTTCATTTAATTAAGTGAACAATTTGGGCCATAATTGAAATGTTTCTATTTAATCCCTTTTTTGTTACATTTCCATTTGTTTTCTTGGGCCATGCACAGAATAAGTTACTACATGTTCATTCTTGATTTCAGCTTGCCAGGAGTTGATCATCTGAAAGCTGGAAGAAATCAATCAGTGGGTGATCTTGATGGAAAAAAATCAACAAGCACGAAGCAATCTTGAGGTCTCATCAATGGTGATTACTACACAAGACCTGCTCATACAAATTCCCCTGAACATATTAGGTGATCTTTAACTTTATGAAGAACTGTTGAGTACAGATCACACTGTTCATGCTGACATGGTTAGCATTTTATATTTATCTCTTTTTGTTATGACATCCTCCCTGTTCTTATTGCTGTTGCAAAGTTCCTTTAAAAGCATAATTTTACCAGTAGAAAATATTTCCCAATATTCCATAGGCCCATGTCAAGTGGTGTCTCTTGTAACCAAAATCTTATTAACTCTTAATAATCTTATTAACTTATTAAAAATTGTTGGTGTCTTCCCATCTGAAGTAAGTTGAAGCTCCAAAAAATTATTGCTTTTTATTTCAACCTGATTTGGCATTTGGGCTGCATCAACATGACATTTCTTACAGGGGTGCTCCTGCTTCCTTGTCTTATGCTGGATTCAATGAGCAAAAGTAGCTATTATGGTTATCTCACATGGGATATCTCCCCTTTCATTTCTTGTGCTCATGCATCACCTTATTTCTGCTTCCCCATTCCTGGAGTATATAAAATGTTCAAAAGAAGGAAATGGCTAGTATTTTCATTCTTTTTTTACCATAGTGTCTGTGCCCAATGTTCACCCTTGGTGCCAAGTTGCCTAGTGAAGTATCTCCTGGCCTCATACTGATGATTAGGTCACTTCATATATCAGGAGATCAGGATATCAGGAGATTACTTGCATTGGTTCACCCATCAAACCTATGATGCCAATCAAAATTTTTTTTTTTTTAGTAAGAGCCTAAAACAGGGGTGCACAACTCAAATTATTGAGAGGGCCATTTCTGATTTTCACTCACCAACTGCAGGCTGCAATCTGGTCACCCATAACTGTAGCCAAAAGGGCAGGAGCTGTAGTGGCACTTGCAATGCAACCAGTCACTGCAGGCCGCAAACAAGGGCCTCGCAGGCTGCATACGGCCTGCAGGCTGTATGTTGTGCAGCACTGGCCTAATATATCAATCTTACCATTCCTTCTGAAAAACATTTGTGACTATGTTCAGAGTGTCAACTTTCCATTTTGTGTTTATGCCATTAGGTTTCATACTTGCATGGTATTAGAGACAAAGATGGTAAGGAGAACATCATCCACATGGTGAAGGCCCTTATTAGCAAGGAAGTAACCCAGGAATATTCTTTTCTTGGAAAGAAAGGAAAGAAGTGCTTTGAGGAACTAAAATCTGCAAGTCGAATACAGGTTGGTAAATAATAGGCTGTTTCTCATCCATTGCAAGTCACATAATTTGAAAACATGACATATATCATATTCCGATATTTTCCAAGGGGTCATTATAATTTATGCAATTTAATTCCAGCTATTTCCTGAATGCATGCAAAAATATCAGTAAGGAAAGGGCTCAGTCATAAAATTTTATTGACTGTCCCACTCTCCCCCCATTTTCCAGTGTAATGACATGAAGTCAGAAAGGTGCTATGTATGACGTGAATGTTTTGCATCAGAATTTATTTTTCCAAGTGCTAATTTGCTGCCAAGGCATTCATGGAATGGAATTCATGTTGGAATTCATGCTTGGAATTCATGTTAATTCCAAGCAGACTGAGGTTTGACTTTGAAACTTATATGTGAATTCTGTATCCATCATCCTTGAATTTTTTTGTATTCCTTTTCCTCTTCAAGTTGCTGCTAGGAAGCTGGCATTGACAGAGAAGGAAGTGAGCAGTGCTGTAGGGAACTCTCTTCAATTCTCCCGAGACTGAAATGGAGGAAGATGTTTGCAGAGAATCTACTAAGAATATTTTTTTGTTTGAGGGTATCTGTGCTGGAAGATTTTTTGTGAGGACCATTCATAATGTCCCCAGAAAACTTTATATAATGATACTTTGGTTGGTCCTCATATTTCTCTTCTTTATTTTGAATTTTGAGAATGATCTTTGTTATTTGTATTTGTTTTTGTTCAATTATATTTTTTGCATTCATATACTTGTGTTGCTCTTTTCTGATTTTCATGAAGTGCCACTGTATTATGTGCTTTGGAGAAACTATTAAGCACTTCAGTTTGAAATGTTTTAAGTGGCATTCCAATTTCACATTTTGTAAATTTGATGAGGAACTGCAGTCTGATGTGATGGGAGGATTGCATCCTCTGAATCTGCATCTATAGATCTAGCTGACGATTGATGAGCTATGCCTCCACTTATTCTGACATTTGGCCCTCTAAAAATCAATGTGGACCTAACTTGAAGAAGAAACACCATTGAGGATACCAGCGCAAGCACATGAGATAATCCCTGAATCTGTGGAAAGACCAAAGGAGCATCTTTTGTATTTGGTGGGCTTTAAGTGGGTTGTACGTTGCTATCCTACTTACTGCCCACGTTGGCCCAACGGTCACTTTCACGTGGGGCCTACGTGGGTAGCCTACGTTGGGCCAACGTATCCTGACGTTAGAGGACCACGTTGGCCCAACATGGGCCCCACGAAAAATGTTATCTGGGCGAATTCTTGCCCATTGTGGAGATCATGAGCTGATCTCCCCAGATTTTTCCTCCCCGAGCCTCATTGTTTCCATTTTTCACTTGCGAGTTCTTTTGCAGAAAGACTTATTTTAGCTGAATGGTTGAAAGTGCGGCACGTTGATTGCATCCGAGGATCACTCTTAGAAGAGTGGCCAAACGGCGTCGCCGACTATTAAGGCAACATGCCGTAACTTCTCTCATTTGACACCTTCATCATCCGATTTCCCATTCGGCATTTCCGGATTTTTACATTTTCCGTCCGGAATTTCTGCAAATTCCAATATCTATTGATAGGCCGACTCGGAAAGAGTAAGACCCGAATGTTGAAACCTCTTTTAGTTAATGGTCCTTTAAGAATACATGGATTCCTATGAGGGGAACGGAGCCTTTAACTTAAATGCCTCCTTATCTCGCCTAATTGAGGTTTATGCATTCGGGCGTAAATTTGAGGAACAAACAACGCCTGACTCCACCGGCCTTATTTTCAACGGCCAGACTTCGCGATTTTTCTCCGCATTCCGCAATCCGCGTTTTACCTGCACCCTAAGGCCGCTTTCTCAAGATTCTAGTCCTGGCATGTGTTGTTTTCCCATCATGTAAGTCCAAAAAAGTTGAATCATCGACTCTTGTGACAGACAACGGGCAGTACGTACCATTTATTTTTGGCCTGACATAGCGGTAGCATAATATAGGACTCGAGGTGAGGAGCGAACGGGCGCTTTCGAAACCATCTTTCAATGCGAGTGGAACATGACCCTTACCTTGATTAAGGAACCTGATCTACTCCGAAGTAAACGCGAGCTGAGAATAGGCCTCTTCACTCCCTGACGAATGCGAGCTGAGTATGCACTCCAGGCAAGGATTGGTGTTAGGATGCTCACATGTCTGGAATACTGTGAGAAATATGGAGAATGGAGATTATGCCCAATACATCATGAGGAACTGAGACCACCATATAAGTGTTTGTCAGTCCCTCATTTCCTATGGGCACTCACCCAAGTACTTAATATTTCATGCTCTGCTTTATTTGATTCCTAGTGAATGAAAGCTGAGTCAGACCTCCTGGTGGCAAGGATAACCTAAACCCAAGCCCTATTGTGATAGGTGATATAGTGTGAACGAGAACTTAACCTTATTTCAGTTTCTTGTCCCTTAGCTCAGTTTCTTGTTCTTTCTTAATTCCATCCAAACTTGATTAATGATGAATTTTTAGAACTTCAACTAAATGTAGACTCAATTGGAGCAAATCCAAACTGAACCAAAGCTCAATTACAGTGAGTTCATCCTGCTTGTAAACATGGGTGGAACAAACCCACTAGTTATGAATATTGTGCATGGATTATACTTTTTTATTATTATTTAAAGATGGGACATGCAGTGTACACTTGACAATGAAGATCCTACAATACACTGAGAGAAAGAGAATACCTGCCTCTGATATAGTATAAAATGATGCCACAAGTTACCAGGTGCAAGAGGCTCCAGACCCATAACTGCACCCTGATTGGAACACCAATTAACCCACCATCCCATCTTAGCTCTCCCCCCCCGTAATGTCAACTAACATGAGTACTTGGAAACTTCTTGGAAACATTTTCCCCTCATCTTTTCTATGGACTTTTTAAAGTGCTGAATATACATCTTATAGGTGAATATAAATATTATAGACCACTCCCATCTCGAACATGAGTACTCTTGGGAGACTCAATTTGGCCTATGGGTTGCTCCAAGGATATGTTACCCTCATTTGGCCTTCACTGCAGGGAATCATTAATGTCCCACATTTTCAGACAAGAATGTCAAGTATTCAAGTATCTTCTTCTTCAAGTAGGGCTTGCATGGGGAGAAGATGCCAGACTTGGTTGGTTTCAAACCCAGATCCCCTGCCATGGGAGCTGAGCTCATTATCAACTGAGCCACTCACCTGCCCTTTTCTTGAGAGGCACCACTGCCAAGATCACATCCTCTTTGGCAGGGACACTCCTCTATGACCCTGTAAGACACCTTCAGGGAAGCTCATGGGTTACATTGACCATGACTAGCATGAGTGATTTCTAATGTATATTTCGCCTGTTTCTCCAGACGTGGTGATAAAACCTTGGCTTTGACATAACTGGAATTTATAAATACCCATATTGAGCTTCTACAAGTGACTGTTTCCCTGCATTGATGTCATTTACATAGAATTTCATAATATATAAAAGTAGTACTTTCAAATTGAGCTGGTTGATGCATAATTCTCAATATTTTCCTTCTCTGGGAGTCTGTAGGTCCAGTTGCAGTGTTCTTCTTTGGTAGGCTATCAGGCTTTCCCATCAACTTTGCCATAAAAGTTAGATCCTGAAGGATATGGCTACCAGTTCAGAAGCAGACTTGGTTGCAGAGGATACTGGACATAGACTTAGACTTACTTTGGAATGTGGGGAAAGGGAAGAGGATGGAGCTGCTGCAGAGGATCCTACCCTCCCATTTGACATCAATCAAGATTCAATCAGGTTAGTAGGGTTTATGTCCACATTTTGGTTCTTAGTACTTTGGCTAACCTTAATCCTTTGAAACAAAGAGCTACAACAGCCCATAGGGTATGGGAAAAAAAAAACAGGTTTTAACCAGTCCATATCTGTACTCCCACTGGTACAATTTTCATTAGTCCTTTCCAATGCAGAGATGGATATGTTTTTAACATGTATTTGAAAGATCTTCTGCATTCATTGTTCCATACTCTAATTAGAGAGAAGTTAGATAATGAAAATTTAAAAGAGCTCATACTGCTAGTGAAGTTGAGGGTATATTGTATTTCAGTTGAGGTCAGTATATTCCCATTTAAGTTGGACTGAACTTCACTTAACTGCCCTTTGAGACCATTCTTTGAAGATTCAATAAGAAAAAACTCAATATTTGGTTTGGCAATTTCAAGTCAAAAGTGTCAGACTAAACTGCACTAGTCACTAGTATTGGGTTTTTTGTCATACAATCTAATACTTTTTCTTTCTACCTGCAGGGAGATGATGAGTGAAAAGGGGAAGACATTCACATTGCCTGAAGGGATCCCCAGCATGACTGATGATGCCTTCTCATACAGAGAAATGCTCAAGAAGGATGTTGCAGGGGAAGGTGGACTTGTGAGTCAAGAGGCACTTGAGCGGATATATGCCCTCAGTATTAATGATGAAGGTGGTGATGGTGATGATAGTGATGACAGTGATAGTGAGTACATTCCTTTTGCCAGTCTGAAGAAGAAAATGGTCCCTGTCTTGGCAGATAATGGAGTCATGAAATTGGTGAGGTTTGTATTCACATCCTAGGGCTAGACAATTGTTGCTTTCATGAAGGATACATTTATCTTCATCAATCTATTGTTTGGTGCAAGGTTGTGCAAGAAGGACATGGAGACATCGTGCCAAATGGTGCTTTCGTCTTTATCAAGTACAGTGCTTACTATGAAGGACAGGATGAGCCCTATGATTCCTCATACTTGAGGAATGAGGTGACATGGAGGTCATTGCACAAACTGTTGTGATTGGGCAAGGAAGATGTATTGATCTATCCTGGGCAGGTGAGGAAGTTTCGACTGGGGACAGGTGCTGTTCTACCAGGAATTGACTTCGCTGTTCGGACAATGAGATTGGAAGAGCATGCAAAATTCCTCATCCAGCCTCCTTATATGTATCAATGCCTCACTCGTTTTGCTTCAGGAAGTCATGACTCTCGAATCAAGATTGGTCTGTTCCTTCTTCATTCTACATGCTTGATGTGGATTGATTTCCTTATACCTTATCTATGATTGAGAGGCTTGTATGTATTCATTCTTTGCAACAAAGGCTATTTTATGTTCTGAGTTTTTGTAGCTAGGTTTGAGGCTAAGTAAGCAAGTAGCTTTCGATAGTTGCTTCCTTCTAAGAGAGGTGCAAAACTTATCCAAAACTCAGTAGCTCTCTTGGAATTCTTTCTATGGGTTTAGGCCTAATGATGAATGTCTACTGCCCTTTTCCTTTGCTGCAGATGAACCAGCTCTGTTCAAAATGGAGTTGTGTGACTATATTGCTAACCAAACTGCTGCAGAAGTGGCAGCAATGACACGCGTGGAGAGGCAGAATGCAAAGTTCTCTCTTGTGCACAAAGCAGCTGAGGAAGAGAAGGTGTCTGGGTCCCGGAGTTTCAAGCATGGTGATTACATCAAGGCAGTCAAAAGGTCAGTTTTTTACTTCTTTTTCACCATTTCACCTCCTCAGTTGTTGGTCTTCTTTTTCCAAATAAACTGGCTCATATATGTTTAACGCTTCCTTATTGGGACTCTGTATAGCAACAATCTGGAATCCTGTATATTAAGGGATACTTTGCTCCAAGTAATGATGATCCAGTCAGATATTTAATTGTGCAACATTTTCTATGAGGGAATTCCTAAGTAATTCATTGAACCAAGTTGGGTGGCAAGCAGGGAGAGAGTGCTTTCTTCTTTACTAGTTGGTTGAGAATTGAACCGTTCCTTTCTTCTGCTTCAGAAAAATAGCTGCTTGGAGTTTATCAAAGGAGAAATGTTATATTCTGAAAATGAGTGAATGACAGGTTTATGAAGGGATGCCTGGGTGATGTTCTTGGAAGAAGTACCTAAGGGTTATGAAAAGAGGGATGACGAATTGGGATAGTAGGTTTGACTCCAACATGCTTGCTTCCTTTGTTGGAAACTCTGGAATAAATATCATTGATTGTATGCTTGATATCCTTAATAGACTTGAGCCCTTTTGAAATGCTTGAAGTTTAAGCTTATCCTGTGAGTGCATCGGTAGAAGATCTTGGAATGGCTGATCATAATCAATTGACTCCAAACTTGCAGATACAAGAGGGCAATGATGTTCATGGATGATGTGCATCTCAAGTCAGATGAAGATGAGGAAAAGCACAAGGACCTCTCTGTCCTCCTGCACTTAAATCTTGCTCTGTGCTATCTTCGCTTGGATCGGGCCAAGCTTTCCAGGCAGGAAGCTCAAAGTGCTCTTGAATTGGCACCTCAGAATCCCAAAGCACTCTACAGGTAGATCACATACCCAACCATGCTTTCAAGTTTCTCGCAAGTCTGAGACAGCATGTAAATTGGGGAATTTTAGGAAATTCCATCTGTTACTGAAGCAGGATTTGATTGTGTGAATGATTCATATCAGGGCAACTGAATATTTGGGGGTCATAGCTCTTCCTTTTTTCAATATGATAAAACTTTGAAGCCTCAACTGCTTGCAGGCAATGAAGTGTTACTTTCCATTATGCAAAGAAGAGGAATGAAACATGATTTATGCCAATAGGACAGAATAATTGAAAACACACCAGAAAGAAGGGGGTGTGGAAGAGGTGGTAGTTGTCCTTTGTCCCCCTCCCCTCAACTACTAAACTTGCTCTGCTGCCCTAATTGACATCATGGTGGCATGTAATGAATATTCCTTTTTTGATCTGAGAATTTATTTCCAGAAAACCTGAATAAGTCGAACAGTTCAGTCTCAAAAATATCTGGGAACCCTCATTTTTATCCTCTTCATGAATACTGTCCTCTTTCTGTGACACATCTGTTTAGGTTGGGCCAGGCATACATGGCAGAGAGGAATTACCCAAAGAGCCGTGAGTGTCTACTGAAGGCAAAGGAGTTGCGGCCGTACTGCAAGGACACTGCTGATGCCCTCCAGAGACTGGAGCTGGAGGAGAAGCAGCACATGAAGGAGGAGAAACGCTTCTGTTCTCGCATTTTCAAACCAGAAAAGGCCTGTCCCATCTCCATTGATGAGGAGGAGAATGTTGGGGCACGAGATCTCAAGCAAGTCATTGTACGTGTTTGAGGAATGAAGATGTAGGCCTAGGTGCAATTGAAAAAAATTTTTAAGGCTGTGCAAGATACCAACTTGGCTTCAATGTAGACCTCCTGTATGATGGCAGTTTCAGGAATAGCTATTTCTTCTAATTTCCTTGAAAGCCCATGTTTAAGTGTGCTGAGTGTTTGATAAATTGTTGGGCAATTTCATTCTTCTCTTTAAGTTGTTGCTGCACTTAGTGGAAAATATTTCCTTCCAAGTTTAAAACACTTGATGTTCAAGTATATACTTCTGCTCAGGAAGGAATTTTCTGTTCAAAAATCAAAGTGCCCATTTTCCCATTGGTGCTGTACTTCTGCAGCATTTCCTGTTAATGAACTGAGACCACTTTCCTCAGTTTAGCAAGGATGAGCTGGCTGCTGCCCAAGATCATCAAGAGCTTTTAGCATCTTCATGTAATAAGCCTGTTCTTTCAGATAGCCTTGAATTGCAGAGCTTTTTTCAGAGCTCTTGCACTGGATAGTAGCTCAAGATACTTTGCTGAGATGCTCGACAAGTAGATATTTTTGGGAGTACATATCTTTCATGCTTGCAATCTTGGCATTATTATGTTCTAAAAATAGCCTTTAACATGCATACAGGTTCTGTTGCTGATATTGCCATCCTGTAGAGTTCATTGACTATTCTATATTTTGTATTTATATTCTATATTTTGGTTTATTCTTGCAGGATGAGAATCCGGACTTTGCAGGAATCTCACAGGAGTTCATGCAGCTGGTATCACAACAGCTGTCAGACTTCATTGGGGAAAAGGAGATGAAAGAGCTTCCATTGCCACCCAGGTTTAATGACTGTCAGGTGGCCTTTGTGGCTCAGGCTGCCATCAGCCTTGGGCTCAAGGTCAAGTTCTTCAAGGTTCCTGACTCCAACATGCACAAGCTTAAAATAGTGAAACCGTGATGTCAACTGAATCTCAAAAACCTGGAGTGGGTGCCTCATGAAGTTTACTTCCAGCAGTATTCATGAACTTTGAAACATTAGCACAGTGTTTCTACTTCCAGTTTCTACTTCCTTGAAGCTCAATAGATAAGTAGGAAAGATCTTTCAATGCTCAGTTTTTTCTCATGATTGGATCAGGAGATGATTGTTGAACTCTGGATAATTAGGAAAAGTGACCTTTCATTCCATCCCAGATCTTCCTTGTTGAAAGCCACCCTATTCTGATACCTGTGTATCTCGATTGCTGATGCACTAATTTTTTCTCCTCTCCATGCTCTATTACCACATTTCTGGTGCTCAATTAGTGAATGAAAAAAATAGTATTTTTACTAGTCTATATACAAGACAGGTGGGGATTGATTACTGACAAAGTTAGCTCCCTACCATTCTCTTTACCTCTGCTATCCTGCTTTGACATGGGCTCATATTTTGTCTTTTAAAATGTAAGATAGTCAGACCACACCCTCTGAAGAGTATGGGTGGGTTCTTGTACTCTCTTTTAGCTGCTAACGGGCTTTTAGTCCTATGCTGGCAATGGACCTAAAAGGTCTTTTAGGGCTAAAAGGGAGTACAAGAACCCAGCCTATATCTTTATCATTTAACCAAAAGTGTGAGAAAGCAAATGTAAGAGGTGTGTCATAGCTCTTGGAATCACATCTGATTGACATTAACCCTTTCACTGGTGCATATGCTCAAACGATGAAAAATTGGAAATGAACCACTGAAATGCAGAAAATTGTCTCTAGCTAAGGTTGATCAATGCTGGAAGTTCTTAAGGTGATGTGAAAACTGGAATATTGCCTCAAATGGGGGTAAGCTGATATGTCACTGCTAGTTGAAGGATAAATTGTTACTTGCAAATGTGCAAAAGCAAAGACTGAATAGCAGTAAACTGTAGACATTCTTAGTTCGAAACAAAATAAGAGGCAGAACTTATGGCCTGAATGCTGAAACCTCATTCAGGTGTGATAAAAGGACCTTTAAGTTAAAAGGCTTTTTTCCCCCCTATAGGAGTCCATGAATTTATAAAGGACTGTCAACTAAAGGAGATTTCAGCATTCTGGCATATACCTCTTTCAGACTAGGGCTCCTCATGGCTTCTTACAACTTTACCTGAGTAACAGGAATTTCTTTTTTTTGCCTCATATATTCCTCTAATCAAAGGCTACTGTTGAGTCTTCTCTACAAGAAAATATCCTTTATCCAGCTTGCATGCTCAACCTATCTTTTTTCCTGACTTCATTTCAAGTCTGCATTCTGCAAGATACACACAGACACACACATTCTCAGATATGTGAAGATGACAAGTTCTTCGAAAAGAGACCTGGAGAGTTTTATATTTCTAAGGTAATAAGTGCATTCAATGTTTTTTGAGTGCTTCATTTGATATCGAGGCAGTCACCCAAAGAAGGCAGGAAGAAACTGCCTCTCTTTGTGGTCCTTGAACCACATGGCTCTAGGATCCACTCTGGTCCACTCCATAGCGGCACTAAGACATGGCTTCAGGGTTAAGCCAAAAAGGAAATTCTGAAATACATTTAGGTTACTACTATTAGTATATCAGCATATCATACATCATCCTTCTGCTTAGTTGCCACAGAATGGCCCTTTGACTGCATAGAATAATTTTTCATCATAAATAGCAAGCAGTGTGATGCATAAGTCATGATGTAATTTCTGGAACCATTGTGTTAGGCCCACCTCAACCTTTGATGGTTCCAGTCTGGTGTAATTTGTATATCAATTTAACATTGTGTGAAAGAAGTTCTTGATCCTTTCCAACCCAAACTTGAGTTAGGAGCATAGTTTCACATTCTCTCAGCATATGATGGCAGGAGCCTACAGTGACTTGCATGGTGCCAACACTGGACAAAGCTAACCAGGGATCATGATTCCAGATGAAATCTTATTTCTGATGAAATCAAAAGCATTGTAAGTTAAGTGATTTTTATGGAATCACTAGGCTGGGTAGGGTTAATGATATTGAGTTTTTGATCCCTGGATCCTTTGATCTTTCACAAAGTACTATAACAGTACCTTTTCCCCATCTTCAACATTAGTGTCCAATTCTCAGTGAGTTTTTATATTTCTGTATCAGTAGGCTTTGCCAAATGGAAGCAAGAATAACATTTTTGATACTTTATTTTGCAAAATTGCAGTCAAGTCATGAAAAAGTTTATTTAAATTGAGACAGGAAGTATGTGAGAGTTGAGCTGGAATAATGCCAGAGAGGATGGTAGACCCAGCTCAGCAGTCAGGGATGCCCAACTCCAGTGAGGGATCTGTGGTTCAAAATGTTCAGTCTATGAACATTCTTCTGGACATTTCTGATCTCCTCAACACGGGTTTGGATGCTGAGACCCTGGCTGTTTGTGTCAGACTTCTCGAACTTGGAATCCCAGCCCGTGAGTTCTAGAGCTTCATTTTTTTTTAGTTTACTTTTTAAATCAGGTTTTCATGCTTGATTGCTCTGTTGCAGAAGCCCTGGCCATGACCATCAAGGAATTGAGAAAAGTTCGACACAACCTTGAATCAACATGAGTTTAGTTCACTGTTGATTGAAGCCATATTCAGTGAAGTGACCCATGAAGAATTCAAGTGGCTAACAAGTTTTGGCACAATCCCATCGAGCCAATTTCATGGCAGAAGATTCTAAATTTCAGCTGCAGGTGGAATCTGACTAATGCAAAAATTGGTCAGGTATGATTTTATAATAAATAGTGAGTCTATTGTCACCCTCATACTTGTGTCTCTATCTTCTTGGTTTTTAAAAAAATTATATTTAAACTTAAACTACTTTTATTGCCAATTGTGGTAAATATGCAATGCCCGAATTTGACCTGAGGTGATGGGATGCCATTTTGTGTGAAACTGAGGAAGTTGTCTTGCTGGAAGTGAAAAAGCTTCAAACTGTGTGGCTCAGATATTTAATAGCTGTGATGTCACTGATGTATGCACAACATTCCATTTCCGACCGTGTGACAAAGCAAATGTATTGTGAATGTGGTGGTGGTGGTGGGGTGGGCAATCCTAAGTATGCTTGGTAAAGAGTTGAGACACTAAAGTTCATTCGTGGCACTTCATTTGAGTTATACAGGATTCTAGCTAGTGGCTCTGACACACATAATTTATGTACGCTAAATTCAAGTACAGAAAAAGACGAGAGTGACGGTCCTGCCTGCGTACTTCCTAGAAAAAAAAGACAAATCTCTGTTATTGTTTACGGAAGTTACTCACCGTAACCTTGCAGGTGAATCATGATGCACTTCGCAATCCTCATGCTACTCATGCTCTCTGCTCTTGTGGTCAGTGAATCGTGGCTCGCACGAGTATCTCTCCAGAAACGGAGGGAAAAATAATCGGAAAGAACTGCGGGAATTCTCCCTTCCATGTGGCGCGTATACAAAGTGGACACTCCAGCCGGCGCCGTGAGAGACACCTATTCATCATTTGTCCAGTCCTGATCATCAGTGGAGTTGAGCTCAACCCTGGTCCAAATTATACAGATACCGAGCAACCCCATTTAACCGTCTTTTTCTTCCTGACTCCTTACCGATGCGAGAGACGGACTAAGGCAGGCGACAGCGAGGTCACCCACTCCGACCAGTCACCTTGAAAGATATTGCTAACATGTTCGAGGTGTGGATAGAAGACTTGAAACATTGGATAGGAATCTGAGGGAATTAATCAAATCGGTAACTCAAGATATTGTTGATCTTAGACACGAACAAGTTAACAATAGCCAGAATTGTGATTTTTAGTGGTAGAAAACTATGGAGAAGAATCTCAACTAATTCGTCAGTCCTTAAGTCTTATTTATGGGTTGAGACTTACGGAACAGTTCCGTAAGCATCAAAGGTGGCCGAAAAGCAGACTTACAGTTTTATTTCCGTTTAAATCAAGGGAAAATCCCTCATCCCACTGGTTAAATGTCTCCAAAAAAAAATAAATAAAAACTTTTAAAATTAGTTTTCTTCGATTTTTGGCAAACGCAATCGGAAAAAATATTAATGCACATAATGGGTTAAGCATGCGAAGAAACGGTGAGAAAGACCTTATAGGAAGATCTACATGTTAACATACAGGTTGAATTCCAACGGATTTTCTGGCTGGGTTCGAAGGGGACTACACGTCCAATTCTTGTACATTTCTCTCATTTCAAGGACAGAAAGAGTTCTTGCTGCAGCCAGACAACACCTATCCCGACTACACGAGAAAGAAGCAAGGAGAAGTTAAGCCCGTTCCTCGACCGGGCAAAGATTAAGGCCGAGTTCATACTCGTGCTGTACAGCACGTACAGCAGCGGAAAAATCCAATCCAACACTGGCATGTTGCATTGGATAGTATGCAGTTGCAGCATCCAGCATGCTGTACAGCATGAGTATGAACTCGGCCTAACAGTCATGGACATATTAAAAATGCGGCAAACTGATCGTCGAGGACTCTTGTCTATGTGCTACAAAATGGTAGCTTGGTGGGAGCGAAGGTGAACCGTAGACGTAGAACAAATGGAATCGTGTTAGATGCCGACAGCAGTGATACTGCCTCCATCATCCTAACACATCATGAACCCCCCACGCACAGCAGTCGTGGAGGCTGGAGGCTCAGAAGAAAGAATGCGCCTTCGATCTAATCGTTTGTTGGGCAACAGACCGGCAGATTACTCACCCTCTGGAGGCGCACGAAAAAGAAGTAGTAATTACCTGTGGGCAGGTGTGAAGAGGGAATCCTTTAATCTCAGAAGCATCTTTAATTCGCTTTGTCTCCTGGAACGTTCCTGGTTTGGCCCCAAACTTTTTTTTGGCTACAGTGACAGTTCAACAAGAAATACGTTTTTGGACCTTTTACGTGCGTTCAATGTAATTTGCCTCCAAGAAACTTGGGTTCATGCGGAAGACCGGTTTCCTATGGGTGGTTTCAATGTGTTTGCCTCCACCCACCCACCATCCCGAACCCTAAGAGATTCCGACGGACTGCTAACCCGGGTTAGAATCTCTTCTGCCGTGGCTAAATAAGGGTCTCACACGTTTCTAAGAAAAGTGACAGGCAGAATGGGGTAAGCGAAGAAAGCTCATACCAGAAGATCGAGCAGGTTTCCGCAGCCATTTTAGCAAAATGGGTTATATTAATAATTGAAGCACTTGCTGCACGATATCTTAACCGACGAACAAGTCGTTTCTATGCTTTATGAACCTGAAAAAGGCGTTCGATAAGGTGGACTGTGAATTGCTACAGAATAATTTAACTAAGCTTGAGCTGAGCAAAAAGATGTTGTACATGCTGCAGAATGAAGTGAGAGCCTCGTTGAGGCCGACGGTATAAAATATTTTAAGTGTCAAACTGTCGTCCGTCGGAGTTGTGTTCTGTGTTCTATCCCCTCTGATATTCAATCTGTCCAAGATCTTCCTACATTCTCGAGAGGAATTGCCCCTGAGTCTATCATGCTGAAAATATTTATAGTGTCGCGTTTTAAGTAAGCAGACGACTTGGTAATCTTTGACGATACTCCCTTCCCCCTACAACGACTGGTTGATCGTTGCCGTTGGTTGAAAGAGTACCTAGATATATCAATATTTTGGGGCACATGGGAGAATAGGTGACTTGTCGATTCCACAGGCATGCCGAAGATGGAAATAAAGCACGCGGAGTGTTGCATTATGACGGAAGCGGAACACGCTGACAATATATGGTAAAGGGTCTCAGAGTCAGAATGGCAAGCCCTGCACCTTAGAGACCCTACATCTTCCTTCAGGATGGACCGGCGATACCACAAATTCGGTTCCATCCCATCTGTGGCTGCTGTTAGGAACCCCTTCGTCTCTGCGCGAAGACCAGTGGGACACAGCCGATCGTGGGACAGTTTGGAACGCAACGCATGAGAGTGAAGCTTCTCAAAGAACTGTTCGTGCAGCGGTTTGATGAGGTGCTTTTGCAGAACACCCTGTTCAGCTTCCTTCACCTGTCGCTTCAGAGAGTGCATGATGGACGCTCTCTGTGGGGTGACCTCGATGGGCTTGTCGCCCCTTCCCAGCACGTTCATGGGCGGCCACAAATCACAGAAGGGGATCTTCGCCACGTTGCATTTGACGTGATCCCTATGACCCCGCGGTCATGAAGATGTCGCACTCCTACTTGCTCTCTACCTCTAAGATGGTGTGGGAGATACAGGCGTTAGACCGAGGGTTTCAGGACGGGGACTAAGGTGCATATTCATGATCCTCCGCGTGGATCGAGCCATCTCATCTAACCGTGACTTAATCCGTTTCAGGACTTCGAATGGGAAGACGAGTACTAGGAGAGCAAAGATGTTACTTGCCGTCACTTTCTTACGGGCAGACAGCTTGGATCCCCAGAACCGACCGACAACTTTTTATCCCCTGCTGAGTACAACTTTGATTGATGTTGCCTCCAGGTATCCCGTAGAGAAATAACGAGGTAGGTGTATGGCTCGTCGGTCCCCAGGTGGCAAATGATGCTGCCATCAGCAAGATTCACGTCTGCACTTATTGTCACTGTCATTCCCCTCTCCAGGTGCAGCATTGCATATTTGTCTAGCCCGAACGCCATCCCAATGTCAAGGGAAAAGATTTGTACTACAGTGAGAGCATCTTTCAGCCCCCTCTCAGAAGACGAGTACATTTTCAACTCATCCATCTAAAATACAGAGTGTCCGGGAAATAAAAGCACAAAAATAACTTTGCATAACTTTACAGCAGAAACATTAAGGAAAATGTGGTAGTCAACAACTCTCCAACTTTAATAAATTTCCATTTGCAATCGTAAGACGTATTCGTCGCAAGAACACGAGAATAGCATTTTGAAGGTGTTCTTGTGGAATGCCTTCGATAAAATTTGATTTTTTTGGCTGAATTAACGGGCATTGACAAGTTTCTTATGGTACACTGTGTTCTTAACATGGTCACACCGATAAAAAGTGCATGGGTATGAGGTTAGGGGTGACATGCACCGAATCCGTTTAATCTAAACTAATCTGATCTCATAATGGTTCCCTATGGGAATCAGTTTAACCAATATGAACGTATTCCCATAGACGCCCATTATGAAAACGAATCAGTTTAAAGTTAAACGGATCTGGTGCATGTGACCCTAGGTGACCGAGGTGGTTCATCACGACCGATCCAGAGTTGAGAAAACGTTGCATCGAGGAAGTTACGAATAGGAAGGGCATAACGAGGAAGAGTCCCATCTTGTTGAGAGATCACTCTCCCTACCAGACCCGACACAATTTCCAATTGAGGGAAGAGAAATGTCCCCAGCAATGTCAGATAGTCAGCTCGTCACCGTGCGATTTGGGAAGAAAGAAGAAAGGTCCGATAATGCGGCTCCGTGACAGGACACACCATACATTAACTTTCGGGGAATTGAGCTCTTGTTCAATCGTCTCATGGGTATTCTTCTCCCTACTACCTTACTACCTTTTTAGAGGGGGAGGGGGCAGCGATCCCACATAATTGTCGCTATTTTCGCATCAAATGACTTTTGGACGTCTTTGCTTGTTGTAGACTGCATTTCGTCCCCAAGAACATGGTTCCTTGGCAGTTGTACTCGCAATATTCTTTCGGGAGGAATTTTATTTTAAAGGAATGAATTTCATTTGAAGATATATATACACATCTATTTATTACACAAACAAAATTGGAAACAAGATTTTTATTGCAAGATTTTTTGCAAATCATTCCCGGTCGATGAAATCCAAATTGAGCCAGCGACTGAGGAGCTGAA